TAAGAATAGTCATTTTATATGAGCATTGATAGGCTATTACATAATTATGTTTTCTATATACAGAAACACACTTTATCCTTGTCAATGAACCGAATTGAAAATGTGCTTAATTTGTCAGTTTAATACGACAAAATTCTGCTTATATATCATTGATAAACTTTAATTTAGGTTTCTAGTTTCCAAGACTTTATCAGAAATTATTTATACTTAAGAATATAAGATCTATAACATTCTTCTGTATCCTGAATAAAGTCACGATTTCAGAGCTCAGAGTCAATTTAAACTTGTATCAGTACTATTATAAAAGTGGAAAGCGTTCGTGATAATTAAATTCATCAAGAAAATGTACCACGTCTTGGAGTATGTAAGGCAAACCATTTTTTTTAAAGACTAAAAAACCATTTACTTCGTTCTTTCGTAAATTACATTTCCCCTTTTTCATCTATTCTTCCTTGTAAACAAAAACTTCCGCGACCTAGCCCATAAAACATGCATGGGGGTTGGAAAAGAGTCGAAAGCGAAAACTTTCAGCGGGACCAAGAAATCACAAACCCTTTAGCGTTGAACTAACAAATAACTTCGGTGAGATGCTTTCTAATGGCATTTCCTTAAATCTCCTATCTAATATAACAAACAGTAAATGCAACAAAACGACTTGCGGAAAAAAGTCACGTATTTAGAAAAAAGTAATGGAAAAGAACAGAAAAAAATTGTTGGATGTATAAATGAAACAACCTTCGAAGACAAGTGGTAAAAATAAGAAGGAATGGCTAAAGTGCATCTAAACTGATTGCTTTCTATCTGTTGTTTCTTGTACTCTTACACTTTTCACGTAGTTTTCTCTACTGAGTGGATATTTTATTTTCGTCAGCAATTCTTTATGATTTACACTCAAGTCAGGAAGGGTAGAGAAAGACAAAACAGCAGAGAAGAATCGGATGCATTTAAGCGTTTCCAGTCCTATTTTTTATGATTTAAAAGTAAAATAAAATGGCGCTCTTTTCTTTTCCTTCGTATCTAAAACAAATTTTGGTGAATTTTTTATACTAATTAATTGATGTAGTACGAATAATATCAAATATGTATGGATTTAATATTATGATTTTTTGTGTACTGAGCAAGCTTCAGCCCTTCAATAATTATGCTAATTTCACCCATCGTAGAGTTAGTATACTTGAAGATGAAGTTGCAGGAAATTATTTATCTTTTCTTTATACTGTGGTGATAGAATAATAGATTTAATGCTTTATTTTAACATCTCGTTTCCTACCTCGTAATTATGAACCATGTCGAATGAAAAAAGTCATTGAACTGGCAGTCAATTCTTAAAATTTCTAATTAAAACCCTTGACTACTGACAACAGATTAAACTTTTATGAGGCACTGATGCATGTTACATCTATGATTAATCATGACAATTTTATATATATATGGTATAAACCTATGATTAGCCCCACAAATTTCAGAACATTTCCCGACGAACACCCCAACTCGGTTAAAAATAAAAGAACTGGTTAAGGCGTCCAGGAATTGAATCCACCTTTACCCCTAAAGAAGGGATAGTTTAATAGTGAATCACATCTATACTGGAATTAATTATTCGCACGTCAGTATTATAGAGGATAATCAAGCTATTATCAACATTTAATAACTGAAATAATTTTTCTTGCCCAGAAGATATGTATCTATCAAGTCCAGAAAACCAAAGATCTCTGTACTCGTACGATCAATAACCACAGATGCCCCAAAACCTTAATAGTTATTTCGGGGTATACATACAGTGGCTCCCAAAAGTGTTCGTACACTTACGACTTTCAATGAAATAGGGCTCTATACATTAATTAATTATTCAATAATAAGATCTATAATCTATTCTTAACAAAACTACATGAAATATTTTTAAAATATAGTAAAACTTTATTTTTAAGAAATAAATAATCAAAAAGTAACACAAATTTTATCTCGCAAAAGCCTTCGTCACTTTAAAAAAATCTCTACATATTAGTAAATATTCTAATTTTTCACTAAATTAATATTTAGGAAGATATCTCTTAGCATCCACCACAGCTTTTAAACGTTTGGGAATAGATTTCACTAGTTTTTTTTTTTTTTTTGTAATTTCTGCATCAATGTTCATCCATTCTTCCATCATTACTGTTTTTAGTTCGATTTTTGTTTTAATGTCGTGTTTTCATACTCTAACCTCCAGTTTTCTCTAAATATGTTCTATTGGGTTTAAATCTGGCGATTGAGGTGGTGTTTTCAAATTTTGTGGGCAATTATAGAGACACCAGAGGCGAACGTTGAGAGTCGTGTGCTTAGGATCGTTATCTAGATAAAAAAATAAAGTTGTTTCCAATACCCAAATCTTCGGCTGATAATTTTAAATTGTCTCTTAAAATTTTTAAATAAAGAGCAAGATTAATTATGCAATAAATAAATAACAAATTACCTATTCCTAATGCTGACATGCACACCCACACAAGGACACCTCCACCGCCATACTTAACTGTTCCAATTAAGTTCCTCATTTTTTCTTCTCCATACTATTAGACGTCTATCGGAACCAAAAATGTTAAATTTGCTTTCATCTGCAAATAAGACATTATTCCAATACGTTTCGGGTTTATCTAACATTGATTTTGCAAAGGAAAGCCTAAGCTTTCTGTTTTTCACACTAACAAAAACTTTTCTACGGGCAGAACGCCAATTTAATCCATTTACTCTCAGAACTCATCGAACAGTTTCAGGTGAAATTGAAGTAGAACATACTTCATTAAATTCTGCAGAAACTTTTAAAGCACTCAAACGTGGATTTTTCACAAATTTTCTAATTATAAATCTCTGATCATGTTTTGTTAACTTGGCGGTCGACCTTTTCTTACCTTATTTTCGATCCAATTTTCTTCTTTAAAGCGTTTTAGCACATACTACACTGTAGAATGGGATGAATTAACTAATTTAGTGATATTCCGAACTGATTTACCACTGCTATGAAGAAAAATAATCAATTTTCGAATATTGATTGTTGTTTCTTTATGAGTACGAGCCATTTTTAAATAATAAATAGAATATTATGGTGTAAACAAGCAAAAATTAAAGCCAAACGATTTTTTAAATGCCACCACAATGCAAAAATAAAAATAAAGCGACAGACGATATTTTAAATCATGAATTTATCCGAAAATTTTTCAATGTACGAAGACTTTTGTGAGATAAAGTTTTTGTTACTTTTTGGTTATTTATTTCTTAAAAATAAAGTTTTACTATATTTTAAAAATATTTCATGTAGTTTTGTTAAGAATAGATTATAGATCTTATTATTAAATACCTATTCTGAAATATTAATTTTAATTAATGGATACAGCTCTATTTCATTGAAAATCGTAAGTGTACCAACACTTTTGGGAGCCACTGTATATACACCGAAATTTAATTGATCAGTATTGATACAGAGTGCCCGCTAAAGTCCGTTGTCACCCCAATAATTTCTGAACGGCAAGAACTATAGTCATAAAAGTGGGGTCTAGGTATAGTAAAGTTACCATGCACTACGCAAGGAAACCACTTACAGCGCCACCTAGCGGCAAAATTCGGAGTTAATGTTCTCATCTCAAAAACGGTACGAAATAGGGGAAGAAAGTCAATTACAATGTTGTTCAGCATCATCGATTTATTACAGAAAACATCTTGCGCACAAAAATGATACAAATGAAAAGCAAAAACACACATTGTTTGATCGCGTTGAACAGAACAGAACGCCGTCTCTTACCCCCGTACCCATGACCAGAACGGTCACTGAACGGTTTGATGGGCAAGACACGGGAATTTTATTTAAGAAAAAGAAAAACAAAATAATCAAAAAGAAGGAAATATATACACTACGTATAACACAGGAATATACACTTTTACACTATTAGTTCGTAATAGTCTTCTTTTCTTTAGATGTTGTTAGACCTTTCTTTTATTTGAAGGGGGAATGTCCGGCAATTGAGCTACTTGGTTCAGCTCGCTGGGAAGTTGAAGGCTAGGGAGGCCGGAAAAGATATCTGTTTTCGCTAATGAATTTGATAATCCCACGAATTTTCTGCCTGGAGACGAGATTATTGGCGACCCTTTTCAGCCATTCTTGTTCTAAGTTTGGCGCTGGCTTCCTCATATGCGAAGACACTGTATAAATACACTCCGTGGCATAGTGAAGTGCCGTGCCAATTCCACCACAACTGCAATAATCGCTGTCAGACAGGTGAAATCTTTTGAGGTAGGCAGGGAAAGGTCCATGTTGAGAGAAGAAGCTAGCATCCTCTCTAATCCAGTTAGTGGGACGGAGACTAACTGAGGGCATGATGTTATAGATTTTCCTGCCTGTAGCGCCATTCTTCCATGAGGTTTGCCACTCCTCAAGCATCCTCTTCCGGAGGAGGCCTTTTATGTGCGGTTTAGGAAGCTTAGTATGTGAATAGGGTTGCCCATGTTGTGTTGCGTCTTTTGCCAGTTGGTCTGCTCTCTCATTGCCTATATTGCCTGCATGCGCTTTAACCCAAGAGACCTTTATTCTTGGATTTGTAAGGAGGATTTTGAAAATTTCTCTAGCTGTTTCGTTTGTGCTCTTTGAGTTGGAAGATTCCGTGATACTTGCGCTATTGTCTACGTGTATTTTAGAGGTATTGTGGTTTGGCAGATGAGATGCGTATATTACTGCTTCGTGAAGTACAGTGAGTTCAGCTTGAAATACGGTGTTGTTGTCGTTGAGTTTAGCAGACCACTGGTAGGCCCAGATGTCATTGGTCAAGACGCAGAAGGCAGTTCCAACTCCTTGTTCGGTTTTCGAGCCATCTGTGAAAATATTTAAAATGTCTTTTCGTGCTATATATGTTTCTCCGTCTTCAAAAGATATTTGGTTCGGTTTGAGATGTTCTGAAGGATGAGTGGACAAGCCTGCTGCCTTCACCTCCAGATCTTGCGGTTGGGTATCTGTAATGATAGGGGAAGAGGGATTCTTAGGCATGGTCTAGTGGTTAGGATACCTGGCTCTCAACAAGGAGGACCGGTTTCGTTTCCCGGTGTCGGAAGATATTTTTTAGGCCAGAGGAAACTCTGGTGGAGGTCCTCAGCGGTTCTGACGTCCAAATCGCGTTGAACAAACTGTACTTGTCGGAAATGAGGCTCATCTATCTGTCATGCTCAAACTGATGCCCTTCAGCAACAATACACATCTGAACACGGGACTGCACTTCCCGCTGTACATTGTACAACATGGCAGGTGACACGCTGGCACAAGCATCCGTTATACGGTTTCGAAGTTCCTGCACTGTTGGTGGAGGGGTTGCATACACTCGCTGTTTGATGTATCCCCACAGAAAAAAGTCCAATGAGTTCAGGTCAGATGAACGTGGCGGCCATTCTACGCAACCACCATACCCGATGACTTGTTGCTGGAATGTGTCCCGAATGTGCTGTTGGACACTTGATACCTTGTGCGGAGAGGCGCCGTCGTATTGGAACCATACATTCCGGAGGTCATCAACTGCAAATCCTCTAGAAAATCGGATATTATGTCCTTCCTTTTCTCTTTTCTTCCGTGTTAAGTCGCGTTACAATTTTGGGAGTTACGAACCAAACAAATATGCATTCAACGCCTTCTATTTTTGACAGTTACAATTAATAAAATTTTACAAAAATTATAAAATTTGATTAAAATATTTTAAACTTTTATTAAAGCTCTGGATAATTTAAAAAATATTTTAAAAGATAACGGCTGCCCAAATAATTTCTATAATGTTGACAGCTTATTTAAAAAAGTTTGAGCAGCTTTTTTTCTTCTGGTTATTGGTTTGAATTTTTCTTCATAGATGGAGCTAGGTGCGCTAGCCTCCAATATATTTTTCCCACCTTTGTTCTCGTTTTATTGGTTCGAATTTTTCTTCATAGATAGAGCTAGGTGTGGTAGCCTACAATATTTTTTTAACCTTTGTTCTCGATTTAGTCGGCGTCCCTTTCTTGCATGTATTTCGGCTGAGGGTGAATTTTATTTTTACATTCTCAAGTCTCCACTGGATATGTTATAAAGGATTTTATTATGCTTCTTTCTTTCTTTTTTTCAAAGGGATTATTTCTCATATTTCAATTAATGGACAAATTCAGAGCCACAGAGGGTATATTCTTGACTTTGTAAGTCTTGCCCTCGACAGAAAATTTGTCCAAATTAGAACTCCTATGGCGGGTGGCTCTTTGAAAAAGTTCGCCATTTGAGTTCTCCTCCAATTTTTCCATTGTGATTGTATTTTCTTTTATTTTCTAATTCTTTCTTTTATGTGTTTTAACTATTTTATTATTGGGGAATTTTTGTTGTTTAATTCTTTAGTGATTGGTTGGTTAATTGTAGTAAAATGTAGTTGATGCAATCACTGGATGCTGCAGTGCAAAAAGGTGTATTGTTAGCATTATTGATTACTTCTTCTGTTTCTTATATATATTTATTTTTTCTTGTTTTTTCTTTTTTTAATGTTTTTTAATTTTCTATTGTCTTCTATTTTTAACATTACTGCACGGAAGATATCTTCTGTTCCTAAATCGGTGATGCTGAACAACTTTGTAATTGACTTTTTCCCCGTATATTGTACCGTTTTTGAAATAAGAACGCTAACTCCGAATTTTTGCGCCAGGAGGCGCTGTGAGCGGTTTTCTTGCGTAGCGCAAAGCAACTTTACTATACCTAGACCCCACTTTTATGACGATAGCTCTTGCCGTTTAGAAATTTTTGGGGTGAGAACGGACTTGAGCTGGCTCACTGTATACACTGATCAATTAAATTGTTGAAAACTCCATATTTTGGATTGTCTTTTTCAATTATTAATTTAGTCTTATTAGTAACAGAATTAATCTGATGTGATCAAAAATACTTTCTATAGGTACTTTTAGCATTAATTTAATAATTTTGATTATTGGATTAATTTAACTGTAGATTTGTAATCAATTGAAATTCTAGAAATGGACGTTTGATGTATTTGCTGTTTTACTTGTGATTAAATATATATTAGGAAAATTGAGTTGCTTCAAAATTACGTGTCCAGGACCCACCTTTTATACGTGAATATCGTCTTCCTAATCTCGAGGTACTTATGGATATCTTTTCACACAAGGAGAGTAGAGCCTATTGTAGATATGCATGAGAATTCAGATGGTTATCCATGAGGCATTTCATTCTGAATTCATTTTTACACACTTTTTGTATAGATTGAAATTTTCAGGTTTGTGGAGAGGGAATTCTGGAATCTTTTTTTCACTCACCCGTGATGTTTTTGAGTCTCGAAATTTTGTGCAATAGTACTTTCTCTGTGCTATTCTAATATTTCAATACTTTCAGGACATTTATCATTTAAAGGATTAAGTTTATTTAAATATTTATTCCATATAAGATGCTCCATGTATGCGCTTCGCCTTTTCCTGTAAAGTCATGAGATAATCTTATTTCGGCTGCGGAATTCGAATGATCTTTTTCTAAATGTACACTCACATGCACGTGATTTTAATGTTTCGTTAGTGATATTTAAATGCTCTGTCCTCATCTTTTTTAAGACTCTGGTCGTCAATTTATGATTTCAGAAAATCAGTCATATTATGAGTTAACAAGAGTTTTGATTTCCAAACTATAAATTCTATGCCGCACACAGGTACTTTGATTTATTTTTGAATTTTATCTTACAAATACCATACAGTAGCCGCACATGGCTATCATGGGGAAAAAAAGAATCTAGAGATTTCTTTTAATTTATTTTGGTGTTTATTCCATTCCCAAAAGGGGGGGGGGGGTTAGTGGTTAGTTAATAATAAATCCACGCCGTCCCATGAAAAGTGTACGCTGTACAGCAAGAAAAGGCCCGATGGGCTTGTGGGAAATATGCGATTTCGTTTCTGTCTACAACCTGGATGTTGTTTTCCGAGAGATACAAATGCCCTTTCGTAGAGGTAGAGAAATGGCTATGGGTACGCTGAGTAAAATGGCGAGATACACGTCCCGATTGCTAACCTATATCCCACTGTCACCTCTGCAGTGTATGCCTAGCCTAAAAATGTATAGTTTCCTTAACTTTTCCTGTTTCCTTTGTTTGTTTCCGTGTTAACCCTTTCTACGGCCGTGGTCAGTATACTTACCACCATAGTCATCAATGATTAAATGTATTTTTTAAGTTTGTTATAAGTTGTCGCAAAATTTTTCGATGAAACAAAAACCTAGATGTTCCAATTTCTTTTCTCAAACCATAACGAAGTGCCTGGACTTGCTAATTAATTATTAATTAAGCGTATGCTTAAGCCGAAAGCATATATGTTATTCAGAGCTAACGCAAGAATGTTGAGTTAATAAATTATTGTTTAATTTTGCAATAACATTTTACAATAATCATACAAATTTATATTTGTTTGTTTTAAATTCGAAAGAATTTCTAAATTATTCATCTTGACGTATTATATTTATTTTTGTTTTGAATATTCGTCAGTTTATTCTATTTTAGAACTCAGAACATCAGAGTAATTTTATATAAATAAACTTTCATCGCTACCAAGACTCGCATAATATTCTTTTCTTTCTTCATGTCTGAGTGTGCTTACTTGTGGTCTTACACATGATAAAAGAACGCCCTTGTCTTAAGATTTAACAAGATTTTGTTTTTTATTTATTTATCATCTAGAGATAAAGAAGTTGTCTCCCTAATTATGGTATGTCTGTCACTGTAAGATATTATCGTGTTTCATGCAATTATTTAGGAAATTAATTTCGAATCGCCAAAAAATCAAAGAACGACTTTCTTTCGATTTCATAACGAATTTTCGCCAACTTTTGAATCTTTAGAAAATGTTTCTAAATTGAAGTACTTCATGGGACTGCTAAAGTGAAATGATTTTATATTCAGAAAAAAGACATTCAAATCTTCACATTTCCAATATAAAAATATCGTGTAATTCAAGAGTTTGGAAAACAACTCTTATTACTTATAGGCCAATATCTGATGACTCTCCTTAATTTTTTATTACATCTCCAGTAGCTTTGGTGTAAGGAAAAATCACATATAATATAATAAGTAAATTTATTTATGATGGAATGTGGCACAAATGTTACATCTTTGTTACGTTTGTTCCAGGATTAATAGGGCCTCAACTTACGAGATGGTTTAAGTCAAGTATTAGCATCAAAAAGATCATTTACAATTATTGTTGATTTCCCAGATTTTTCTCAATATTTCTTTTCGTATACCTACAGAAGCTCGTATACCTGCGTCCCAGCCCTTAATTCAATTATATTGATCGTTGTTTCCAATATATTGTTTCAAAAATTTCGAACTTTTACAGGCTGTCATTGACAACATTTGTCATTGCTAAGGAGACTCACGGGAAAACAAACGTCAACTCCCTCCTGAGTTCCTGGAGAGGATAAAAAAAATGTTATTTGAAAACGCAAAAATAGCCGTGTATGACTGAATAGGCCAGTTTGATAAGCTTTTTCTTAAGCCTCAGGAAAATTTAAACTTTTAACCCTCTGAGCGGCGCGAACGTCTTTTTACGTTTATCATGTTCAGTTCAAAAGCAGATAGCTCGTATTTATATGTATATTTTCTTAAACAATCATGGATAAAGTATTCTTAAGATTTCAGAGATATAATTAAATATAAAAAATATCGATTCATTTACTTTAAAAGCTAAGTTTTTTAACTTCTAGCTAAAAGTTCAAAATAATTGGGCGCTCAGAGGGTTTCTTACAGACGAGTTGCGGCCGAAAAGTGGTAGCATTTGTATTGCGCCTGATCAAAGGTTAAAATAGGGAATAGGGACTCAGAAAACAGGCAGCATTTTTATTCCCATTAACTTTCCATTCTTTGAATGACCTTATCTCTAAATATATAAATATAATCTAACACTTTTATTCAAAATATGAAACTTATAAATATTCTATAGTACATTATTTTCTAAAATAAAATTTAATTTCCTAAAGATATAGCTTTCAAATAAACATCAATTGATATATATCCTCGAATTTCTATGAGATTATTTTATTGAGAATTTACGGACTGCAGTC